CAAATTAGTTATTGGGAATTTTTCAAACAGAACTCGCAACTAATAGTTTCGATCGTAATCAATGACGTTATAAGCTATTTGTCAGTTCATCTGGGCAAACTACTTGTAGATATCTCGTAAACATTAAAATATCTCAGTCAACACACACGTCCATTGAAACAGAAGGAAGTAGTTCGACTCATAATAAACTTTTTCTATGAAGCTTATTTTTCGATAAAAAATGTGACCGCAAACAATAAAATAAAAAAATACATTCACATAAAATAATAAATAAACAAACACTTCAAACTGTGCAAGATTGGAACAAAATTGTAAGATAATGTTGGGATATTAAATCATTGAGACCATTAGGATATTAAATGATACGGATTTCCATAGAAAACACACTCCTACTAAAGATTTTTTAAGCATAGATTTATTTCTGAAGTCAATTTTATCATGTGTATGAAGATGTAATGGTCTTGAATAACCAAATTCATGAATTTTTTTGGGCCAAGATTATGAAAAAGTTCAATATAGCAAAGTGCCATTCACCCCAATATCGAAAATTGATTGTAATTTTAGTATATTTTCCATGAGTTCAGTCCAGAATAAATCTACTGTACAGGGTGTCCGTAAAGTCAGAACATATAGGATAACCTGAGCGATTCAAGAATCTTGCTGCACACTAACACGAATATAATTCTGTAACTTTTTGTCAGACCAAGGTCAGACTTCTTCAGATATACATAGTTCAACTAGCATAGAAGAAGGATAAGCAGTTATTCCCACAGGAATCAAATTATTTGCGCAACATAGGATAAATATAGATATTTTTAGTATGCAATTTTTTCAATATGACCTCCGTCATTTGCAATTTGAATGTAAATACGTTTTACAAAAATTGCACGAACTCAATGCAATAAATCTACGTTACCATCAAAACATTCACCTTTTATCGTTAAGTCAAGTGTATTAAATTTGTGATTTTCGTTGAGTACACTTTTTTCTTCAGCATATGGTATTCAAAACGTTTTAAAATTAAAATAAATAGTAAAAATAATATTAGTTTTTATTAAATACTAAAAATATCTAATTATCCTATGTGTCCTGACTCTACGGACATATGTGGCCCCTGCGATTATTAATTTGATAACATTATTAATTGCAGCCAATTATATATTATCTTACATATCATTTAATATTGTTTTTAATATTATTTCTACAATATGAATACGGTTACCAACATTTCAAAATCATTAATTTCTTGACATCTTCCGAGAAATAGTACGTGGATAAATCGTAATTGTAAAATATGTGATTGTTTTCTGATTACGCAAAATGGCAGATGTCGTTTTAATGTGCTTGTTTGAAATAATTCCCCGAACTGATATAACGAACGGGTTTGGCAAGTTTCATATCATCTTTCATATCAATTCAAAATATTATTCCACTAATAATCTATTGTGAATCTTGTGATTCCGAAACTGCAAATATAATAAAATATAATTGTGATTGTTTGGAAATTTGAAATTTATTGCCTACCTCAACATTTGGAATCAGTCATGTTTGTTGACCGTTGCTTTTAAATGCGCGTTTAATTATTTTAAATATATCTCAGGTCGCTAAAGATATTGTAATATTTTACAACTTTGATGATCTCAATAAATAATACCATAAATTATTGGCTTATCAAACGGGACATATTCGATGTCTTGATTATGAAATTCGATTCGATCACAAAATGATTGTATTTCTTGTTTCTCGTTACTGGACAAAATTGAAAATCATATGAAAGATGATGTGAAACTTGCCTCGCCCCTTGCTTGAAAAATATCGAACTCTCAAAACTGAATTATAGAGCTTGACCATTTGCTTAATCGATGGAGTCACAAAGCACCTTTTATTAGTTTCGTGCGAGCTTCCGACGAGCTGCAACGGTTATTTTGTATTCAGTCGAGGTATCAAACATTTATCTATAAAATATTAAAGCTCACTTGATATGATTTCAAAATGGAATATTTTATACAACGAATCCAAATGAATGCTGAATAACTGAATATAAAGTTTGAAATTTGATTATTTCTACTCAAACTATGGAACTACAAACTATAAGTTGTTTCCTGGAATTTGTAGTACTTTGTCCACAAATAATGAAATAAGCGACAAAGAAACAGATAAGATCAATGTTTGTTTTTGCGAATATTTCATACTTTTCAAACTTTACTCCAGTCGATGGTATTAGCGGTACCTATTATTCAGTCATTCTATTCTTATCTATATAACCCATCGCCGAGTTGGTTAGTCCTTCACAGCAACTTCATGTTTTCGTTACCCTTTGTGTCCGCTTTTTGTTCGGCTGGTCGGCCGTGACCGGCGTTTGATTCAAATTTTATGCACTTTTTCTTGCATATTTGTCAGATCATCAGCCACTTGCCAGTTCAATTGCTAATTCAAATTTTTGGGGCGGGTCTAGTTAAAGAAGCCCTATCATTTTCTTTTATATTGACGTCTGTATAATTTGATTACATCCTCAAATCATCTCTTATTTATGTAATAATCACATTTGCACTTGTTTTCATAGATACTTTGTTTGCCTTCCTGCGCAGTGGAGACCACTGGCGACGTACTGCAATAAAAGCACGTAAAGCCGAGTTACTGAATATAATATTGCAATAATGTTGTCACCATTTCTGACAATTGCATGACTGGCTAGTATAGGGTGCAGATATTGCATCATAAACCAATAAAATCTGATTCTAAAGCAGAAGGATTAGTAGACCAGGATTGATATAAAACGCAAAGACTCCAAATATGTACGGAGCATTTTTTACTCACACAAACTAAACAATTGTTGTTAGAATAGACGGGCATATTACGTGTACATTTCATCAATTAGTTTTCTGCTTTTCCAAAAGCGTACGTTCAAAATGCCCCACGCTTTCGCTTTGAACACGACGAGCGGTTCCTGTTAATGTGATTCTATCTTATCAGGAAAGCTTAAAAGATTCCATTAACGAAACAACTCACAAAACATTGCGCCCAATCGAAACTACCGTGTTGACTCGTTCAGACATTTTTATTTGTTTCTAGTGTTTAAAGATCCAATAGAAATTAAAACAAGCCTGGGCCCGCAGCTAACGATACCAAGGAGTAATAAATCTCATATTTTTAGTGCGCGCTTTATGTGATATGCGTGGGGGCGTTATCTTCCAAAGCGGTTTTCGAAGAGACAACAGAAAATATCAAGAGCGAACCCGTAGCTAACGATGCCAAGGAGTATTAAATCGCTCATTTTCAGTGCGCGCTTTATGCGTTATCGTTCAAAATGTAAATAAAACTACATAAATGTATTTGTTCTTGTAATTAATTAGTGATTTGTTACGCCAGTATTGCGGTAACTCAAGGAATTGCTCAAATATTGTTAGAGCAATATTAATATAATTTATATAATACTGATAAAATTCGTTGCGAGAATATTTGAACGGCTCTTCTGTTTCAGAATTGATTAAATTATCAAGCATATGTTTGGAATACGGAGCTGCAAGAAGCAATTTTCTCGAATAAGCGAATATATTCTAATTTGAGCAGCAATTTAGAAGTTCTTTTCACTTCAAGTTTTGAAAACACATGGCACTCACTATTCAAAACACGCAACGTATCCATCTGAAGAAATTACTCATTCCCAATTAATGCCTTGACTACCTTGCTGTTTGAATCGAATTTTAACGCATTCTTTATCAGAATTCACTGCAGCATAATTTATCCCCGGTATATATTTCAAAATGTGCTTAATATTTTACTTTTGTTTTGGGGTTTTTGAAACTAAGTTTACGCATAGTTATTTGGCTATATCCTACATTTAATGAACCTTGCTCAGTTATATTTAAATCATTGCCTTCAATTTGTTTGGACTAATTTTATTTTTACTGTGCAACACGGCTCTTGCTCAATAAAATCAACTATTTCATGATTTTCACTATTTTGCTTTCACAAACTGCATTGTTAGCCCGTTCCCCAGAAATATATTTAGAGCTTTCTTTAGAGTTTTTTCATTTAGAGCTTTTTATTTTAAAAAAAGTTATTTTCGATATAACTATAGTAATTCGAGTTCGACATATCAAATAAGCAATTTCTCGTAAAAGTTACCCAGTTCAGTGTTGATGATAAACTTCCGATAGAGTGTTTGTAAAAGAAGAAACATTTCTAGCCAACTGATATATTACAAACCAATATATATCAATAAGAATTCAAATTGCAAAGAAATATCATTAAATGAAGAAAAATATTTTCCCGTTGTTACTTATCGATTTTAATCGGTAAGCATGTTGATAGCTATTTGTCTGTTTGTCTGTCTGTCTGTGAGTTAGATGCACGCAATATCTCACGAAAGAGAGATTGGATCTGCTGCAGATTTTGCATGTGCATTCACCATATCTCGTACCAGAAGCCTATTGATTTTGGGCAAATTATGTCGTATAATTAGCGAATTATTAATAATTAGTGATGGGACACAAGGTGTCACTATGGAGTAAGAGCGCTGTTTTGATCCCCTAACTTTCGATCGATAAGTCCTCGGTCTCTGACCGATATTCTCGTTTTTAATTTGATAAATGTTTAACGAATTGCTTAAATATATTGATTTGTTACTGCAATTGTACTAATACTAATTAATACATTAGGTGTCTGAGGAAACTTAGTTCCAAGAAAAAGTATACTTTAGTATTTAGTCATATACATGGATATTCATAAAAAATGAATAATAATAATAAATGAAATAATATATTGCCAGTAAATTTATTTTATTTTATTCATAACATCTGACCACGGTTTTTTTGAATTCAATAGGACTTGTTAAGCATATCTTACAAAATGGGAGAGCTTTTATTATTTTGTTAAATGAGTATTCTAAAACAAGACCTGCTATTCATTTCGTCACAAATGTTCGATTAGATAAATATGCGAAATAGCTTGTTGGGGCTTTGTAAAGTTCAGGAATCTGCTACAATATTCTTGCCCATTCAACTTGGACAGTATATATTGTTGTTTTCTGAATATTTTTCAACAACGTAAACAGTCATTCTTTGTCCCATACAAATATCAGAAAGTAAGTCTGTTTGGTTTTCAATCTTTTTCTTTTCTTCATCCCCAGAACTGAACAGAACTTCAACATTTTCAAATCGATCTTTCACATAATCACTTGCGCTCCAAGACTCATTAGACGGATCTGAACAACAAACAATTTTCTTACTACTAAAACTTTGGTCAAATTAGGTGAATAATGGAAAAGTCATCATTTTCATTTTTAACAAATCCCGTTTACTATAGTGAGCCGCGGAGAGGAGGCTCTTTATAATTTCATAAGCAAGGATTTTCACTAAATACATTCGCCATGACAACATTAATTTAAAATACCTTGGCCACGATTTATTCAATTCTTTGACTGTAATGCATTTATTCTTTTGTTGTCTTTTTATTATTAAACGTGCATAAAATAACTGATGGAAATGTCCTAAAAGCAAAAATAGGTATTTTACACAAGGGACCCGCACGTTTTGGGAGTCATTAGAACGAGGCCATGGATCATGAAGTTTGAGAATTCGTGAATAATCGGGTATTCATTTTTCACAAGCTGACATCTAATTTATCCTATATTTGAAATATATGTAGGCAAACTCACCTCCGTACAATGATCCACTTGCCTCTAAATTGTTCAAGTACATCGCAAAAAATCGAATTTCAAAATTTTTGTCTAAACATATTTTTGTGAAAACTGAGTTCAGGATCTCGACCTTCTTGTTTCCGACATCAACTAAATTAAAAATAAAAGTTACTTGAATTTTGCTGTATTTTATAACAAAAGAAATTTATTTTATCATGTATACACGCTGAAGGACAGAAGAAACGTTTTTTTTAGTATTGCTGTGTAGAAATGGATGATAATTGCAATTAATGTGGCATTGAATCAGACTGGTGATAGTTCACAACAAAAGTTTATCAAGATATGGCCAAGATTCATGCCGATTCTAATTGTACACATGAGTTCATCGTAAATTCAGTACATTGAATGAATGTCCTTAGAAAATGTATTCATTACTTATATCAGATCATAATTTTCATTGAAATTGTATTTCATTGAAATTGTTGTAATATTTAGCATGCGAATCTGAACATTATATGTAGACTTAATTTCCGTCCTACACAATTTTTTGGTATATACTCACAAAAATATCGCAGATCCAATTTTTTCTCATGAGCAGGCACTTTATTCCTGGAAAATCTGAACGATGGAGGAACATGAACTATTTCAGGCGGTGAGATCACTGCATTTATTATTCCAGAGATCCTCATTTTGTACTCAGTAGCAAGTTTATAGCAATTAAAAGTTAAGTTCACTGAAATAAAAACAACACTTGTAGCACGTAGCAGAATCAACCTTAATTGCTGTTTAACTAAGTCATATCTTTCGATATCGTGTCTGAAGAAGTTAGACAAAGATATATCATGACTTAATTAATAAGCACACACCTAGAATTTCTTTCAAAAATAATTCATTACACTTCAAATCGCATTAATTATGTCGGCCCAGGTTAAACCAATGCATTAGCAACTCATAATGTGGTATTCTAAGAAAATTTATTTGTAACATAGCTAATCTGAAGACATTTGAAGTGAAAAATTAAATTCCACAAGAGTAATGATTTGCCAAAAAAGAGAAAGAGGTATAGCATATTATTAGTATATACAAAAATGAGAGAAAAAGGAAACATATTATCATATTGATATTCATTACAACTGAGCATACGGGAACAGGGATACAAAAATCAAAGGAAAAAAAGACATATTACCATACTAAATTGATTCTGGAGAACGACTTCAAAACAAAAACCGTTATTGCTCGACAACAAAATTAAAAAAAAAAATCAATGAAATCCAAGTGCTATAAATATCCCCAGCTTTCCAGCAAAGCCCTCACAAATACAACATACTTGGTGCTCATAGTTGCGACCAACGAAAACCAATCAGAAGAGAAGAAAGTTGTAAATCTACAATATGCTTACAATAATAGGTAAATATTTTACTTAATTTAGAAGAACTTTTTTCTTAATGATGATTTTTGTAAGTATACTCACAGTATACCAGAAATTATTAAATATATAAATTATAGGTGATGGCAAAACCATGACCGCAAGCGGGACTCACAAAGATGCTATATATGCATACAATGAGGCTCATGCTACATCAGGTTAGTTTATTAAATATTTAATAAAGGTTGATTTGGTATCATCATATTAATTTTACGTTGAAATTTTTTTTTATTTGACAGTGGAAAAACTTTGGTGGAAAATAGATGATGGAGATTGGAATGTCCTTGACAAAAAAATCGACGATTCACAAAGGGTTCTTAGTTCGGAGATTAATCTGCGTGGTTGCGAAGATCGCACTATCACTATTACTAAATTTAAGAAAATTTAATAGTTCTCTTTTCAATTAATTAGTCAGATTTTGTGTGATAAAAAGAATTTTATCAATTTTAGGAGTGTGTCTAAAATTCAGTAATTTAATCTGTATTTATCAAAAAAATACCAAAGCCTTGTAAAATGTATTTAGAAACAATGCCATTATGTACAATGGGCTGTGTAAAACATGCTATGGTATTTTTGATTAGAATTTATTTTATATTCAGCTATAACAGGCTTTTACAAAAACAATTTAGCAGCAAGTAGATACTTCAAGAACTATTAATAAAGTAGGAAAAATTACTTTCGAAAACCAATAACCCTTAATATGGCTAATCAGTTTTTGTTATGTTTTTATTTCAATTTCTATATTGTTTTCAAAGACTTATAAAATTTTCTATTTGTTGTGGATTGTTATTAAGTGATATTCATGGATTATATAAATATTTAGTTATTAAAAAGTAAAATTTCTAATAGTTGAAAATAAACTTATTCAAATAGTGCATCAGACGTGTTCATTCAGTCGAAAACGGCTACGTAAGTGTGCTATTGCATTTGTTCTCTTCATTTAAAAAAATTAAAATAGTATTCTGTTGTTGCTACTATTCCTATGTGCAAAGTCCTGGTATTGCTCTTAGTTGTTCCTGTTTCATTTCCATATTTTTAATCAATTATTCATCAAACCAACAGCAATTTTATAATAAAATTATAGTTCAGTTTATTAAAACCTTGAACGGCACGAAACTATAAATTTCTAAATCAGATATTGTTTTCATTGTAGTGTAAAGCTACGATAAAAATATTGCAACTTATATATAAAAAAATTAAACAAAAATACGATATACAATTTGCATGTTGCAGAAAACAATATGTGATAAACATTTAAAATACTAAAAATTATAAATAATTTTTAATATACCAGTGGAAACTATTCTGAACATATCAATGTTATACGAACGTGGACTTACCGCGATACATAATAGAGATATACCAATACCACTTTTGTCGCCGATACCGATCCGATACCAACTAAAAACGCAGACATCGATATACCGATATTCCAGAATGGCCGATATTCTGATACTATTCAATCATTTCAACAAGTGTGTACAGCAGACGAGTTAAAACAATAGTTTTGAGCATTATTCATTGTGCGCACAATTTCAGATTGAAAATGACATAATATGAAATTGGTGCTTGGGATCCGGATGCGTTAATTGATTCAGATGCATTGCGTGCTGATGCTATTAATCTAGCTAAGTGTTCAATCAAAAAACTGGGGAAATAAGGTGGAAAAATAAATGAATGTTTATATATTCTGCGTGCGCAGGATTTTTTCAACATTAGTACTCTAGTTTTTTTAAAAAAACATTCGGGATCATATCGAAAAGCTAAATATATCGTAAATATCGGTCTACATCTGGCCGATACCGGATACACTGCCAATACCGAAATTTGGCCGATATTGACTATACTGATACATCGATACATCTCTAAATAGCATTTTCCTATGTAAAAAAACATTCTGGATCATATCGAAAAGCTAAATATATCGTAAATATCGGTCTACATCTGGCCGATACCGGATACACTGCCAATACCGAAAATTTGTCCGATATTGACTATACTGATACATCGATACATCTCTAAATAGCATTTTCCTATGTTAAATGTATCTATATATTAATATTTTCACTATTAACGGCATGCTACGGGCGAGTGCATGATCAAAAAAGAAAAAGAAAAAACTCTAAAACAATAAAAATAAAATATACAGAAAACGATATCAAGTTTGGGACTAAAACTTTTGACAGGAAGTTCTTATTTTATTGTCAAATTAAATGTATTTTCGAATGCAATGAAGTCTTGAATCCATATAATAAATATGCACAACTTATCTCGCGCTTCACTCATAGTCGTTCTCATTATAGGTTATTTGAACGAACACATTTACAAATAGCCTTTTTCAGTGTTTTCACCGTTATTGTGGTTAGCTCTCGAATACTAAAGGGATGCTTAATAAGCGATGAAGACTTGTACCATCAATGGTTTGAGTATCGGGATATTGTCAGGGAAATGGTGCCTACATCGTCAGTCTGGAGTTGCAGGAATATTTTTTCGTGTATTCTCTCGTAAAAATATCGACATCACTGCCTAGCCAATTAAATAGAAGCACAAACAACTACATATAATGCTTACATGACAAACGCCGGAACCAAAATTTTAAGAGCTTGATATATTTAGAAAATGACAAGCAGATAAAATTGTACTCAATAATGATACCTTGAATAAATACTCCTGCCGTATTGCTAGTAATGCAAACCTACTTCATAATTAACCTTATCAAACACAATGTGATTTTTTAACAATTTTACTCAAATATAAAGCTTGGTTCATATCGCTTCTCTGTATTTCAACCAAAGGTCAACCCAAGATATTTGTAAAATGAGTAAATGCAGTTTCATATACAGCCTTAACCGGTTCAGCGCCCGGAACGATAGTTAATACATCTAACAGCTGAGTAATTTTTTTTCTTTTGTTTGTAGCTTTGTACTAATGCAAACAAACTGTTATAACTTACCGAAGTTTGCCAACGTGTCGTTTTTTCTTATTAAATTTTGACTCTATTGCGCCTTCAATTGGCAACGCGTAATAACAGGCTAATGAAAAACGTTTTCGAATGTGTATTTTAAAATGGTATAATGATGTTTTTTTGCAAAAAAAGATACCGTCAAACTTCAAACTCTCAGTCTATGTTGAGCATCCCTTTTGTGAAACATCAATCTTTGAGAAATTTTTTTAAATTCAAAATCAAAAATAAATTTTTATCAAACTTAGAAAAGCTGAGGATGCCAATGAAGTCATTATATCACATGTGTTATACCTGACCTAAGATATTTCTATGCGTGAGCAATTTTTCATTTGGTTTAATAAGAATAAGCTGAGAAATAAAGTATGGAGAAATGTATAATATATTTCGCTATATTTCACGGCAGATGGCGCAAGTCGCAATCTAACCAAGGTGATGTATACCTCGTTCAAAGATAGATACATTCGAAAAGCAGAGAAAATTTAAATCGTTCAAAAGTTGATGAGAAGAAATACTGTTCTATATTTTATTATCTGATATGATTGAACTTGTACTTGTAATAAATACATCAGCCATTGTAAATTGGAGCTGAAATACATGTCAAATAAATGTATATAAACACCGACGGGAAGAATCTTAAAAACACAAGGACAACTCATAACAAACCAAATCATCACCGTGCGAAGACAACTTTTAATAGCTTGATGATGATGGGAATGAGATAGGGATATTGGTGAAAATTGGTGGCTCCCGAAGTATGCGAACCAAGATGGCGGACATCGGAATGTAATATGTGTACTAGGTTAGGGTTAGGCCATAATTTTAGGTATAAATACTACAGGAGGCTCTTGGCTAGTCTTCGAACTGATACTAGGACTAAAATAAGGTAAATTGGAAAAAAATTATCGCCTAACCCTAACCTGTTACCCATGTTACGTTCCGATGTCGCCATCTTATTCGCATACTTCGGGAGCACCGAAAATTGTTTATTTCAATTAGGAAAGACGACAAGTTTTTGCTGCGAATAAACAATATATATAGGAAAAACAACAACAAGATCAATTGATTCAATAGAACGTAAACAATTAATAAACCTAAGAACATAAATCACTGTGTCTGGTTCCAAGTAGCTTCCATTCTCTGGAATGTACTCTACAGAATGATGTATATAATCCTTCTCTTCGTATGCCACAGGAGCCCACAATTTTCCCAGATCACAAAAGTGAATGCCCAAATTTCTATATAGATGCACACTTTGAATATACCAGCTCATGTATGGATTGAAACAAGATTTCCATCTGAAACCATTATTTCTGGAACAAATGAACAACTAATTTACCATATAGCCAGAATTGAAAACGCTAGGTGGCGCCGTTGAGCACATTTCCAAAAGTGAAAAAAACATCGATAAGATTTTGAAATACATCCGTATCATTCCGTATTTGTTTAAGAATTCTGCCCACACTTGATGTTTTTTTAGTCGTCGGCAAGGCGTTACAATCCTTTTATATCTGCACCTGGCAAATTTGAGCTGATTTGAAAAGATTTTTACAAAAATAATAAGAAATGTCAGTCAACACCCATTCCATATGAAAATAAATACAAGTATCCGAAATCAAAATATTTCACAATATACTTTTACATTACAAATGGAGCAAAAAATATGCGCACCTGGCAAACCCGATTTGAGAGAATATTTTGCAATATTCCCTTTAAAAAGAAATACATGTATTCGAAATCAAAATCTTTTGTAATAAATTTTTCATTTAAAAAAAAAAATAAATGTTTATATTTTTCATGTCATTAGTTTATGCAAGCGTATCTTTTGAAGTGGAAATTTACGTTGAATGTGAAATTATCCAACATTTCAAATCTTATGATCCCAGAAATACTTTATAGTTATATGCTGAATGGTACAAAAATAAATCGTATTGAATTGCATGAAAAACATACAATAAAAGGAACCAGATACCAGTACTCTGTTTTCTATAAAAACTTGAGTTCGAGTAGGTTCAAGGTCGACAGACTAAACAAGTGTTTTGTTGCAATTTGGCCTGCTCAATGTTGACGACTTACCTCTAATAATTGTGTTGTAAAAGAGAAAATAGTTTTCTCAGTTGTTGTGAAAATGGAAATAATATTTAGTAATAAAAACAGTTAATATATCAAAGAAGAAGTGAACATTCACCCATACCTTGATTTGTTGCAAAATATTTTAATATTTTATTCATACCTACTGCTTTACTATATTGATCTCTCTCATATTTGCATTGGGTACTTCAAGTAATTGAGCTCTTTGAATTATTTAAAAATTAGACGCTCAGAGCAAATGTGATTTGTTATGAGTGAATTAAATTATCATTTAAGCATTACTGCATAATTCCTGTGCGTCGTTTGAGTCAATCTTTAAGCTTATAATCGCAAAGTGGGAAATTTAATACTATGATTATGTTCTAGTTTCAAAAATAGCAAAACAGATACCGTATTGCAGAATATTATCCGCAATTTTGTTCATATTTTAGTCAAGAAAACCGGTTGAAAACAATTTTATATGTATATATAACAATGTATATATAACTCATTAACTTTTTATGTCTTGTGAAGCCTATCGCAAAAAAAATTGACAAGTTTTTTTTAAATCATTTTCTCCATTAAACAAATGTTCGATAATAAGGCAATTTTTCGATTTTTAAAATTTTAACTTTAATTCGGAAAAGTGAATTAAAAAAATGAATATTGTAAATAAGTAATATTGCATACACCAACGAAGTTTCATCGGCTAAATAAAAAGTCATATTAGCTGGTGGTGTTTTGAAAGTGTCACCAACTGCAGAAAAATCTCTTTGCCCAATTCAGCAAGAAATTATTCGTTCATGATTTGGTGGACCAAATGTTCAACTTGGACAGTAAATACTGTTGTTTACTGAATTATTTTCAATAACGTAAACAGTCATTCTTTGTCCCATATAAATATCAGAAAGAAAGTCTGTTTGGTTCTTTATCTTTTTCATTGCTTCTTCCCCAGAACTGAACAAAACTTCAACATTTTCAAACCGATCTTTGACAAAATTGTTTGCGCTCCATGATTCATTAGATGGATCTGAACAATATATATCTCGTTAAATGGAACAATGAATTTTATGCTATATGGATTTGAATTGTTTTGCAAAACAACTTTTTATTATTGCTTCAACCTAAGATAAATTAGATGAAAGATATCATGAGTCCACATTTTCATTCATAAAATTTTTATTGTATATTTCACTATAGAGTGCGCTGAACGCTTCCCGTGGGATCCCAAACAAAGACCTTCACTGGGTACCTGTCGTGATGAGTATATTAATTTAAAGTAACTTGAATAATTTGTTTAATTTTTTGACTGTAATGCATTCATTCTTTTGCTTCGTTGTTGGATTTTTTATTATCAAAAATGATGGGTATTAACTGATGGAAATGTCTTAAGGGAACCACAAAAGTTGTGAATCTTAGAAAGGATGATAGAAAGGATCATGAAAGGTTGAGCACAATTGGGTATCTACTAGATATTTTGTTTCGCGAATCGGATAATCTTATATTTAAATATTATCGCACACTCACCTCCATACATTGATCCATTTGCCTCTAGAATATTTAAATACATTGCAAAAAACCTGATTTCAAAATTTTTGCACAAACATATTTTTGTGAAAACTGAGTTTAGAATCTCGATCTTCTTGTTTCCGACATCAACTGAAAATAAATATAATGTTTTCTTATATTTTGCTGTATTTCATTGAAAAGTAGTTCTGTCTATGATGTATATATGATGAATGATCTGGAGAAACCTATTTGAATAAAGTTTCATGAGAGCGTAAACCGAAATGGTTGATAAATGCATTTACTGTGGCATTGATTGAGACTGATGATTGGTCTGCACAGACAGTTACAATCGTGGTTGCAGTTCCCGCTAAGATTCCTTGCGCATCGAATTGATATTGTATTGGTAGCGATCTACATGTGCTTCGAAAATATCGTAATATTTACCACGTAAATTATATAAATTCAAGACTCTATTTTTGTCATTTAAACTTGGCATATACTCACTGAAGTATCGCAGATCTAATGGTTTCTCTTGAGCATGTACTTTATTATTCCTTGAACATCTGGATGACGATGAAGGAACGTGAACTATTTTAGGTGGTGAAATCACTGCAAATATTTTTCCAGAAAAACTCATTTTTGCTTAGTAGCAAGCTTACTAGGAGTAGCAATTTGAAGTTAGATTTACTGAAATGCAAAACAACAATTGTAACGAACACGTAGAATAATTTGTAGACTACATATTAACAGTCAGGAGGCAGTTCATAACACAAAAATACAGTTCATAACAAATCAAATCATCGCCATACTAAGACTACGAATATAAGTTTGATATTTGATTGCTTTTTTTTCTCCAACATGTCCTTATCAAGCATGATATAGAGATGTTGATGAAAATAGTCTATTTCAATTAGACTCGACAACAATTGTGTTTTTCGTTGTGATTGAACAATAGGAAAAATAACAACAAAAGCAATCAATTCAATAAAACGTAAACAATTACACATCTAAGAACAGGAATAACTGTATCTGGTTTCAAGTAGCTTCCACTCTCTACATGCTTTCTATATTCTCAACTGAAGCTTACACTTCTCCCAGATCACAAACTATTTTTTTTATAAACACGATACCTTAATCACAACTCCTCTTGTTACAGTGTAATTCGGTTTAATATGACCTGCTAATAAATGAGAAAATATCGGTGTGAATCGGGAGAAATAAAACAAATGTAAACAATAGTGAATATTTCGTAAAACGATATATGGCACGGGCGTAAGTTCTTTTGACAAAACTATCTTATATAGGGATAGGCGAAACGACCCTAAATTATTACGCCCAAAAGACAATTACTTGCTATTTGTTGAAGGTTCGTTTCTCAATTGTAAATTTCTTATGTTTGTTTCTTCAAGCTGTTCTGGTCACAGTCAATTGGTTAACGAAAACCTTTTATTTTGTATATACATACATATATGTCAAAGATGTAGAATTTTCATGACGTTTAAATTAGATTGAACAACCTAATTGGTTCTTTGAAGACCCACCTGATAAACAAATCAAATGAGAGCGCTTATGCTATGTTATTGGTTTTTGTAGTTTTAAATTTAATTTAGTTGAATACGTTCACAAAGTTAATTGTGCAATTACAAATTACTATATAGCTACAGACTATGAATATGACAGATCATGTACAAATTCAAGAAAAATTTCTTTCCAAAACCATTAGTTTCACAACAAATAGCATTTTTAAATTACATATACAAAATAAACTTAAGTACTGGAAAATCCAATTTATGTCTGCGCTTAAAATTATGCTTGAAAAGCACCTGCTCAGCTTGATTTTCTATTTTATATATACTGTACAACAAAAGTATAAAACATCACATGCGAAAGATGGGGTTACCAAACATAACCGATTTGAAATCTTATTTTAGACAATAGCCTAACTATTGACATTTTTATGTTCCTCACTATTATTATAAAATATTAATTTTATTACCATCCCAGCTAGATTTAATTTGATTCTGAAACAGCGTAGTATATTCATACGAAATTGTAAAAATTCGTACAATGCTACTTTCAGAATAGGATTTCAGATCACGTAGACAGCTGCAATATAATACATGCCAGGCCCTTTGTTTCGCCACATCGCGGAACAATACCAAACGTGCCGAGTTAAACAGTAACGCCCGCCATTTTGTTTAACTAACAAGCGTTTGTGAAACAATTTTCACTTGGTTTCCTTTTCTAGGGTCACCTTGACTATAATTACTGTTTAGGGTGGAATCTGTGTTTATATTGTAAACACAATAATATAGCTGAATAGAGTATGGTGGCTTAGCAGTTGATGTTAAGGTGATTTCGCCGACACTTTTACTCTTAACCCACTGCCTATAACGATATTTGACAAAGCGCTTTTTGCCCAGGCCGTTGCCAAGTAGCAACAATGATCAATTGTCGTCACAAATAAATAATAAAAAATGAGAATGAGTTCTGATACAATAGAGAGACAAGCTTTATTATATGAATTGCGTGTCAATAACAAAATTCTGAATAAAAAAATTTTTGCTTTTGACAGCCAATGGATAACAAACCATGACACTTTTTTGAATATCCTAACAATAAGTTCTTAGTAAAATAATTGATTTGAAAATTATGAAGTGAACATACATTCTAGAAAATTAATAAAATATAATTCAGTACTTTATTTTAACTCAAGCAGGATGACAAAAATCGATCACATGCAAAAATTTACGCTTGAATAACGTCCACGTGGCGATAAAAATATTACAATCGGAACTGTGCATGAGGAAATAAAGTATGAAATATACCATCGTTCTAGATATCAATAAGATTCAGTTTTGACGGGTTACCGCAGTAAATAAACTGAGAGAAAATACTTCGTTTTCATCAAACTTTTTAAGAGACAGCTTGCTCCAAATTTCTCACCCGACATTTACCACTATTCATTAGTTTCAATACCAGTTTTAACAAACAGGGTGTAACTAGGTTTGTTGTTTTTCAATCGGTAATTGTTTAAGTATCTTTACTTCCTTTAATACATCTGTGAAGGCCAAGGCAGTATATCTATATGGTATCGATAAATTCCCTTTGCAATAAAATCCCTTTAAATAAATTCAAGACTTTATGAACAGCATATGTTTATACCAGTTTCAACGATTTGATTCAAACATGTCAAATAAGTAAATTCGAACAGTTTAATTTTCATATATTTTCCAATTTAAATGGTTTGCTAAATTTGCATTACTGTTATCAACTCACGTGATAAATTTATACACAATGGAACTTAAAAAAATTTTTTTTTTTATTTATGCTTTGTTATACTAATTTCACGTCATGCATTCATGATTCCTATTTGCAGGATTTCCCGATCTCATTTTTTGAGGACTTGGATTCTATACAATTTTTTACTTTGACATTTACATAATTTCTATCTCCACGTCTTGTTATTTAATTATCTTCAGTAATGAGATTATCTTTTTTTGGATTTTAAAATTATATGAAGAAGCTACAGCTTTTATTATTCATGTTTTTTATACTAATTTCACGTCATGAATTCATGATTCCCATTTGCAGGATTTCCCGATCTCATTTTTGAGGACTTGGATTCTATACAATTTTTTACTTTGACATTTACATAATTTCTATCTCCACGTCTTGTTATTTAATTATCTTCAGTAATGAGATTATTTTTTTTTGGATTTTAAAATTATATGAAGAAGCTACAGTTTCTGATTCTGCCATAACTAATTGAAAATTGTCTAAAAATGTTTTTTTTTTAACGCACACGAGCAAAATTTTTCGAAACACGATACCGTTTTGAAGAGAATACCTAAAAAAAATGTTTTGATTTTAAATATACTAGCGAGTAGTGTGGGTGGGGTGGCACAGAAAAATGTTTAAAACGATAAAGTTTTTTGAATACTGCTTGCATTTTGAATTTAAAATTAATTTAAAATGAAATCAAAGTATTTGTTGATTATAAAAGATCATTTATAAAAAAAAAAAAATATTGTGACATTCAAAATATATATAAAAATCGAATATGAAGTACATATCTCATGCCGATATAAGAGTATTTTCAACATTAAACTGAAATTAATATAAACTAAAGAATGGCTAAAGTGAGGCAAAATCTAAATTTTTATAACTAGACATAAACTATCTTCTCGTATGTCCCATATTTCTGTCTCCTAAAATTCTAATTTTCATATATTTTTCAATTAAAAAAATTTACGGGAAAAATTTATGCACAAATGATTTTTTTTTACTCATACCTCAAAAAATAAAATAAACTATAAACTACTACTAAACTACTATTATTTTTAATAGATCTGCCTATCAAGAATATCTAAACAAAATATTTATTTTAAATTTTAACGCAGGATAAAAGGTTCTAATGGATACAATATGAATACAAGAAAATGTAACGTCAACAGGAATAACCCTCATTTGAAAAGCGTCTTTTTATGATTACATCATCTCTTTATATATCATATTGAAATACTAAAAGATGATGAAAATTAAATCCATTGTTCAGTACATATCACATATCTTTTTGATACACAAAAATAAAATAGAAACAAGGATTAGTTTAAAAGAAACAACGCGGTACAAAAAGAAATAAACAAGTGAATGGATGCCAATTGAACAAAGCAGTAAAAAGAAAATGAAAAAAGTGGGGGTAGTGCATAAAAGTCGTCATGATACTTTCATAACATTCACATCTTGATTAGAACATAGTTGATTGATAAGTCGAAAGCAATGGGTGGTTTAATTACAAGATTTTTCAGAGAAGATGGAAGCGAAGTCAAATCCACTAATGATTTCAATAGGGAATATGGAAATACAGGTGAAATATGTAAAACTAATTTTAAAGGAGCCTATTTTATGCATCAAAATATATTCAAAATGTTTTGTAAGTTAATCAAACCAGCGTGTTGAAGTAATATTAGGTTGAAGAGTATGTTTAAACTTATTCAGAGAGGCATAAGCATGTAAGAGACCAACATGTGACTTTGCTCTGGATTGACTATTATGGGTTTTAAACTAAATGTAAATATATTCTGTAACTTCGTTTCGAAAAAAATGAAAAATTATGTAATTCAGTAATAAAAAAATTAAAAAAAATGACTAATAAAAAATTTGTAATAATTTATTTTATTTCAGAGTGAAAATATTGATTTCATTTTGCAAAATTTTTTTCAGGAACCTACAGTACCAGTACAGGAAGATCAGGAAATATAGGGACCGACCTGGCATCAGAGGTGAATCAAGGACCTGCAGAAGTTTATCTCAAAAAAGGATAAATGAATACCTGTTCCCAGATATTTACTATATACTAAGTATTTAGTAAATATAATTATAAAATTTGTATCTTATCACATGCTCAATTTTATATTATAGTTTTTATAATAAAAAATGATATTGCATCTATAAGTTTGTGTGTTCAAATGAGTCAAGGACCTTGCAAATGATTGTTAAGATAAACATTAGAAACATCATAAAGTACTAACCTTGACCTTGACTAACCTCTTATAAAATAATATGTTTTGTTAGCTACCATAGAGATTCATTATTCATACCCGATACGCAAACAACGTAAAATATTTCTATTGTCTATTTTGTATTGAATATTAGGGCAAGGTCAGACAAGTTCTATTAA